CCCCCCCCCCAATTTCACAATAAACTCTAAATATCCTCTTAGAACCAGAAGTGACTGACCTGTCAAATTTTGTAAAGTTCTATAAATATGAAGTACACTCTGTAGCTTTTTTGGAAGGTTTATAATATATCATCCTTTCCTCACTAATAACTAGAAATCTCTCATCAGAGTCCCAGGTGTACTTTTGTGTGCATCAATAAGGTCATTTATACTTTCATAATTTCCATCATTTGTTAAAGCATTGCTTTGTTCCTGTAATAGGTGTAGAAAAAATATCCCTCAGAAATGAAGTGACTTTCCTCGCCCACAGACTCTTCCTTCTGAAGTTTTGACTTGCATGCGCCTCAGTCCTCCTTCAATCCCTGCATTCTCTCCTCATGTCTTGTGCATGTCCTAGGAGTGCTTCCGAAATGTGTGGCCTGTGAATGGAGAACCTGTCAAAAGATTTTTGTACTGACCACTTGCCACTATTGGGCTCTGAATGGTCTTGTGTTCAGATTAAGAAGTGTAAAAATGGAGCAACGCAAGCTGAATGACCAAGCAAACTCTCTAGTGGACCTTGCAAAGGTAAGATACCTTTGAGTGAATGTTTGACTAATGCATGATGGAACATTGGAGGTCCGTTTGTGTTTTAGTATGAATTTTGATATATTGTAAGTCTACAGGTGTCAAATAAACAGACAATATTTTCAAATTTGATTTTTTTTTTTGTCTACAATATGGTTTCCATATTTGGTACTGATCATTTGTTTCCTTACAAAGAGCAACTAAGCATATGGTTGATGTCGGTTAATTTATTATTTCCTTTACGAAATGTCCTCACGTTCACTTTTGCTATTTATTTCCCTCTTGCTATGCACAGTTCATCATGCTGCTTAATGGTCTGGAAAAGCTTTCATCTCCTTAGAAAAAAGAATAACTCATGGGATACCTGACATGTTAAAATAGCCTGATAAATTTGAAACCCTGCATTTGCACTTCCCTCACGGCCATTTTTTAGACGGACTAAAGAGTGAGCCTTGGGGAACACCAGGCATGCTGCCAGCCTGACTCTGCAAAACCCACAGCAACCTGGGAAAGGGACACACTCGAGATCTGATGAGTCAGCTGAAACAGCCTCTCGCACGAGTGCACACTTGCTCACACGTCTGAGCTGTGACATTCAAACATCTGCAGTGGTCATATCCCAGCAACCTCTGTCGGGGCTTTGCCGTGAGAGTCATTAGTTAGTGATCCCCAATTACCCTCCTGTCCTGCACCTCCCAAAGAAACCGGAGAGGGTGACATTTGAGGCCTAGTGTGATGTGATGTGACTCATACTGGTTTCTGTCTCCTTTTATCGTTGCTGTAATTGCCTCTCACCATCAGAGAGCGGTATAACATTAATCATGGCCGCAGCTGCTCCCAGTGGCAATGAATCCTATAATGCAGCTTAAAATAATTTAAGCAGCTGCAGTGCTTCTGCAACCTTCAGACAGCCCATGGGCCCTGATATGGTGTGTCTGCAACTTCTGTTCCCACACCTGTGATCCGTTTATTTTTTGCAAGTTCTTTTGTTCATTTTAGCTTTTCTTCAGAAAGTAATGAAGGCAGATTCTTCATATTTAGTAGTGTTTGCTAAGGCAAGTGTCACTGTTGCTCATACTTAAGGTGAGGGATTTGAACAAACCTCTAAGCCAAAACTACATTGCATAACTTGTCCCACACTGTTACAGACTACAGACATGAATTATGCTTCAACTCATGCGACTTGTTGAGGAAAGGCGTGTAGTAATTTTTCTATGCCATCGATTTTTACCTGGTGGGTGATAAAATGGGAGAAAACAAGTCATATTTAATTCAATTAAAGTAGGAAGCTTCACCTTAGTAGAGATTGAGTGACATTGTTTTTTTTTATGTCTGAAACCGATATGCTGTTTTTTTTTTCTACTTATTTTAATAATTTAAAGCTGCAGTCCGTAACTTTTTTGTTCAAAATTTACATAATAGTACACCATGAATCCATTTTCCAAACCGTGTTTTTGGCTTGTCCTGAATCACTACGGTACACCTATAATAAGTGTTTATATTCGAACTATTTAGACTGGTTCGGGTAGGTACCGCTGCGGAGTAGCCCAGTACCTGCGTGATTCGCCATAGACAAACAGAGAAGTAGCTCCGGCTACAATGTTCTTCCGCAAGACGCACGCAGTTCTGTTTATTAACCGCTAGAGCGCCAAAAAGTTACGGACTGCAGCTTTAATAATTATTATTACAGATAACACAATAAATAAGTTACTTTATCTGTGAATACTCTTTTTAGCTTCTGTAAAAAATAAAAAAAAATAAAAATAAAAAATGTATAGACAAAAGTGTTAATATCGGTAAAAAAAAGTATATAGGTCAAACTGATCATCAACCTGTCTCTTCACCTTGTGAGCAAATAGCAAGCATTGCCTCACAGTTGACAGTGAGTTTTCAATTGATAGCAATGCTAAAATAAATGTTTCTGCTGTCTTTTAATGTTTGTTAGGTACATTGAGTTGCTTGTAACTAGATGTCTGAGTTTAAAGTTTGTGCGCATGATGTAATGTCATGAAAGACCTTTTATGTCGTCAGTACTGGGAATTGAGATGTTCTAAAAATATGGACGCACACTTCATTTCTCATCAGGGCAATCCATCACCCGAGTGCTTTTTAAGAGTACCTGTCACATGCAGCTGGGTTCGACATGTCCTTTGTGACATGACTGGTTTTGTCATCTTTTATGGTCAAATGATAAAAGATCACGCAGCGCCAGGCTTACAACACCAGGCTGTTCAAACGATCATTTATGAATCTCTGTTAATTATAACCTCTCCCTTGCTTCATCTCAGACTCAAAACATCATGTATGACCTGGTCTCGGACCTGAACGAGCGGGGCGAGGACATGGAGAAGAGGATTGCACTGCTGGAGACCAAACTGGAGACATTGCTTAGCAACTTACAGGCGCTTCCAGGCCTCATCAGTCAGGTGATCAGCCAGCAACACCGGGACTTCCTGGAGGTGCAACTCCAGCCGTACGACAAACACAGTCACGAGCGCTCGCAGTCCGTCTCGCTCCGGCTACAATGTTCTTCCGCAAGACGCACGCAGTTCTGTTTATTAACCGCTAGAGCGCCAAAAAGTTACGGACTGCAGCTTTAATAATTATTATTACAGATAACACAATAAATAAGTTACTTTATCTGTGAATACTCTTTTTAGCTATTAAGCAATTAAGCATTATTCATTGTTAAGGTGCAGAGGCCCAAAAGTGGTTTGATATTTTTAGAGATATTCACACTTTTGTGATTTTTTTTAAACCTATATTTGCACTTTTGTCTGTTTTTTTTACCGATATTCAGACTTTTGTGAATATTGTAAAAAAACAAAAGCTGATTATTGGCACTTCTTCAGTAAAAAAAAATCAAACCAATGGTAAAGTGCTAAGACCAAACTGGAGACATTGCTTAGCAACTTACAGGCGCTTCCAGGCCTCATCAGTCAGGTGATCAGCCAGCAACACCGGGACTTCCTGGAGGTGCAACTCCAGCCGTACGACAAACACAGTCACGAGCGCTCGCAGTCCGTCTCCCGGCGCCGATCGTCTTCCACCGCGCCACCTACTTCCTCCGAGAGCAGCTAGAGCTGCCAGCCCAGCCGGCGTCTCCGGAGAAGACTTTCGCCATCATATGGCCAAGTTGCATTTTACTGTAAAGCCTTATGGTTTCAATAAAGTATTATCCAAATTCTGATGACACCATCAGAGGTTATCGGGGATAATGCGGTTGAAATGGAAACTTCCACACATATCTTGTTGAATAAATGATGCTGTTTCTCTGTTGACAGAATCACAGAGAGACTTTTGTCAGTAAATAATGATGGAAAGATGGGGCTATCAGGTGAGCAAGTCCTTCTCGGGGACTTAATTCAGGAAAGCAATGTGACGACCTCAAACGGCACCAAATAGTGCCGGACTAGTGCTTCCTACTGATTTGTCTGTCTCAACGTTTGTGAATGAGATCTGACCTGTTCTTTGAATCAACAGGCGTTAATAACTCTTTATTGAGGAACTACTAGCATGTCTGAACCCAAGACAGGGGCAGATGAGGAATGCCTCCCCTTCCTGTCCAAATAGCGAAACCCTAGATTTACACTCTCAAAAGAAAGCATATATCTTTTCGGTTCGAAACGGCATCAGCTGTAGTGTTTTTCTGTTGTTAAGCCCTCTAAAAGTAACTATTCAGGGGCCATGTTGCAAACAATTTACTCCTCTCGAATTGAATGCATCTGAATCTATACTTGCACTTTTTATCAATGCACTTCAACGCTTACTGACTATAATATGAATTTATGTTGCTCATTCAAATAAAAAGACACCTTTAGTCATAGGATAATGGCCAGAATGTACAACGATAATGATTGTGTAGGCTACAGCAAGGGCAGCAAATGAGACCTCAACTGAAATGACTGTGCTTACAATGTAGATGTTCGATGGCTGCTGTTTTTGCACCAACGTCTCCATTAGTTCCAACGGCGATTGACGTATCTTTATGGAGTAGCTGAGAGGAAACTCTCTCGGTTCACTGTGTGCTTTACGCTTAAACGGTCTTCAAAACAAGACAAGATCTACCGGATGCTATTTATAGACGTAGATCTGTTTGAGAGCAGCAACAATCTTGTATATGTTTGAAAATGCCTATTTTTGTATATTAACGAGGACAAGCACACCTCCAAATGCGTATGTCTTTCTCAAAAGGATGTGTGGTAAAGAACTGTATTTGAGTGTGGAAGTGGAATGTAGAACCAAAGCTTTCAAAATGGGTAGAAAGAAAGGAAACGGTTGGTCCTCTGGAAGATCTTAAGATTTCCCAGTAAGCCGAACCGTACCGTAATGGATTTCTCTGGGATGGCCCTGTGAATTCAGCCTCAGTTTTTCTGGTGTTAAAGGTCAAACAAATCCACAGCACAAATCAAAATAAAGGAGTTCCGTGGTTATTTTCCGATCAATCGGTCTCATGCCTTTCAGAATGTAAACACAAATGCCTGTCTGATGCAAAGAATTGATTACCACAAAGAGAGATTATGACCGGTTCACCATATTCTACTATCATTTACTGATAGCATGTTATTGATAGATCTGCACTTTAGATTCTAAAGATATATGATGGGTTCATGTTGGATATATTGGTGCATTTCATAACCTGGCCCAGCTACAACACATCCCAGGGTGTAATGTCATTAAAGGGTTACAGAACCTAAAGAAACAATGGTGGATCCAGCAGTTTCACCAACATAGAAACTATGAGTGATTAAATACTGTATGCAAAATGAATATAAACAATAAAATGAACTATTTAACAGAAAACTGTGTGTTGTTTGAGCATTTTCTGTTTTATATGTGTAATGCAGTAGTGTGTTGTGTTAACTTTGAGGTTATAGGCTATAATGTAGTCTTCTGGAAAACAGATAAAATATTATTGACTACTTTTTTTTCCCCAATCAAATTTCTTTTTGTTCAACGGTGATTTGTAGATATATTGTATTTACATGGAAATACTAAGGTGTCGTATTTACATTGTTGTGCCCTTCAAACGATAAGTATAAAACATTTTACATTATATTAATATTATAATACATTTTGAATGCATTTTAATAAATTTCTTTCCTTTTTCTGAGGAAAATAAAACTGCAGGGCACCTTAACGTAATGTCTGATCTATAACAAATTCAGTTACGGTTTTGAGATCACTATAATGACTAAATAATTATTTCAAGACTGAAACTTGAACAAAATTGAAAAATGTATGCTACTAATTTATTGATACGCCTGATAAAGCAGCATTTTAGGTTGCAAACACAGCTAAGCCTATCTCAGGGTTGCCAGTTTTTCACAACAAACCCCACCCAATGCTACTCAAAATTAACCCAATCCAATTTCGGGGGTTCCACTAGGTAAAATACACGTTTTTTGAATGGTTCCCCTGGTAAGATTAGCATTCCAGGGGATAAATATCACATTAAATATCACATTATTGGGGTCGCTTCAACCCGCTCAACAGTGTTAAAGTAGCCCAATTCCGCGGGATAACCGCGGACCTGGCAACACTTCTCTCTTTCCAGTTTTCTCAACGGCCCTGCTACTAACCAAGTAGTCCTGCCCCAAAGCTCACGCTATTGGTTGAGAGTCACCTCCAAGTTCTCTGATTGGCTAACAAGTACTGTCCCCGATCAGTTGCCGTTTTGCTCAGTGCTGCCAAGTCCGCGGTTTTCCCGCGGAATTGGGCTACTTTAAAGGGGTCCTATTATGCTCTTTTACAATGTCTTGAATTTGTTTTGGGGGTGTACTAGAACATGCTCTCATGCTTGGTGGTTCGAAAAACGCATTATTTTTTACATAATTTACATTATTACAACACCTCTCTCCCCATCCTGGCACAGATGCCTCGATTAGTTCCGGGTTTGATGAAGGCCCGCCTTCCGAAAAACGAATTGTGATGTGATTGGTTAGCTGTCCCAGTGCGTTGTGATTGGCGAACAGATTAGACAGTGTTTCAGTACTGCCCCGCCCCTTGCTTCATTACACCAAATACACAACATAATGTTCTTTTTAGCAACATCATATGACCCCTTTAAGGATGGCGTCAGTATTGCCATATCAATTGAGCCGGATTCAGACCCAGAGAATATTGAACAAGAGGATCGCTTAGAAACTTTGTACGCACGGATATTGCAAGACATATTAGAGTGGTAACATTATTGTTGCTGTTGTTTTTTTTGGGCTAAATCACGTTTTAGATAGGATGTCAACAACCGCTTAAAAATAACTGCATTTACTATATAGAGATGAGTGCATATGTATTATTTTTATTGTTATTTAATTCTAACATTATAACATGAATTGCAGTAAAACTTATACAGTTTAATTTATTTATACCATAGTCCAGTGTTTCCCAGGCGGCATATCTATGCAAACTCATTCTCTGCCAGCAGGAGGCGCTGTTGGAATGGTAGAGATCAAGGTTTCCCCGGTAACGGCTGTACACAAAGCAGCGCTCCGCTCAATAAAACACTGCTTTATCAGACATTACATGCAAAATTAAATGAAAATGACATCCAATTTTCTGAAGACAGTCGGTTTCCTTCAGAAATACAGTGATATAAAACAGCCGCACTCAATGTATGGGAAACACTGTAGTATCATAACTGAAGTGTAAATTCTGCAGATTACATCATTGTCCAGTATTGTACTGTCAGCAATTTATTATAAAAACGTTTGCATAATTGTAACATACACTACGATTTGTTTCATGTAAAAAATAAAAAAAAACAGTTATAATACCACGAATACATAAATATTAGAAATGAATAATTTTCATTATTTTGAATTCACATGTTTATTTCACAATGCACCAGAAGGCAGCAACAGAGCTTTGTTGACAACGTTTTTTTTTTTTTAAGATAACACCTTTTCAGTGTCTGACATTTAAGCTTGATATTCCAAAATATATCTATTACAGCATCCTCACCGAAATATGGAAAAGGGCAGAACTGTAAGTATTCACTTAATAATAAGAAGAAGAAGTATTCATCGCTTACCGGTAGACGGAGCCGTTTTGTCAGGCACGGGAAGAGACCAAACATCGCGAGAACTGAGCGTGGCGTGAACTCATGGCAAAGCATGACATCGGTGTGCTTTTGAGCCAACAAGCTTTATAACTGATTAAGTAACATCAACTTTTTTGTTTTCAAGTGACGATTTTGAAAGGACCAACGCCAAAATGAGTTTACTCACCAAAATAGCCGAAATCGAGAACGAGGTGGGTTGACATGAACATAGTATATGAAAACTAGCCGTTAGCACTTAGCGCCAAACCCATTCAATAGTGAATGCAGCGGAATTTCAGAAATGAACTTGGGATTCCATAAACTGATCAGTTACATTTTCTAAAATGATGAGAGCTGTTGTTGTCTTGACATTGTCATTGTAAATATGCCATTTTAGCAGTGGTGGACGAAGTACACAAATCAAGTACTTGAGTAAAAGTACGGATCCGTATAATAAA